ATCCTACAATACAAATACATTTATTTAGAATTTTATACATATGCAATTAAGCCATATATAAAGATAAGAGTTTTGTTTGTTCGGTTTGTTTGGGTTTTTTTCTTCTTCTCTTTCAGACATTTTGCTTCCTATTTTTTTTTTCCCCTTGCCTAGAGGTCTGGCAATGATAATAGTGGATGTTTTAGTATCATTCTTTCTCTCAAAGAGATCGCTTTCATCTCACATTCCACCATGGAGCAGGGTATCTGTAGATCTCTGTTAAATACCCTTTATCAAATCCAGGAGCAAGTTGGCTAAGAGCTTTCATTATGTATGGATGCTGAACTGTATCAGATGATGTTCCAATTCTAAGGGATGTGGTCATTAATCTCCTCCACTATTGCGCTGATTTACTCCATTGCATTAACTGATATGGCGGAGGCTAATTTGCATTCCTGGATAAATCAAACTGAGTAATGATCTATCATCCTTACTCTATTTTAGTGGATCCTATTTGTGATTTTTTTTTTTTTTTTAAGATGTTTCTAAATGGCCCAGGTTGGTCTGGTACTCTTTATGTCGCCAAGGATTAACCATAAACTTCTGGTCCCGCTGCCTCCGCCTTGTGAGTAGAAGGTGTGCCGGTGTGTGTCCAAGCCCACATTTATGCATGCGCTAAGGATCAAAACCCAGGGCCTCAGGCACTCTACCGACTCAACTGTAGGATTTTTGCATCTCTGTTCTCAGAAGATATTTCCTGTTTGCCGTGATGTCTTTTTATTGATTTGTTTTTCCTTTAAAGTGCACATCCTATTCTTGAAACATTAGTCTGGACTTTCCTAGGCTGGGAAAGACTGCTGTGTAAGACTGTTGTGTTTTTTCTTAAATGTTGGTTGAATTCAGTCCACCTGGCCCTGGTCGGTTGCTTCTTATGAAAATGCTATTTTTTTGTGATCTCTGCTGTGAAAAGAATAAAAACCTCCCATTGTCTTAGGACTTCTGAAAGGGCCAATAGACAGAGGGAGGAAGAGACAGGGAGAAGGCGCCACATGACATATCTGAATGCCATAAGGCCCTGTCCCAGTTCCCACCTTTCTCACATACTCTCCCTGACCCAGCAGGCTGGCAGTGACTGGCCTGTGGCTTTCCCTCCTCAGCTTCCCAGGTTACTCCCTCCCCAAGATGACCCAGACCTGAGATTTCAGAGAAGGAAGGCTCTGGCTGGGGCAGAGGACACTGCGGGGGTGGGTGGTGGGGGAGTGGAGGGGACTGGGAGGAATGCTTGAAGCAGACAGAGGCTCTTTGTTTGCTCAGTTTCTATGAAGGTTGGGCAACATTTGTAAACAGCAAATATTGGTCCAGAGGCCCACTGCCTTCCTGCCCACCCCCTCTGGGCAGCACCCCAAGCTCCCCGGCACTTACGCAAGTTCAGTTGCTTCTACCAGAAAGACAGCTCCGTGGCTGGGATGTAAGGGTTTTCACTCTGTTTGTGGTCCATGATTCGGGTCATGTGCTGGTTGGTCTGAAACCACAAACTACTCACCTGCTTCTCTTGTTTTTCTCACTCTTTCTTAAACAGAGAGATCAAATATTTAAGAAACCAGCTGTGGTCCAGAGAAGGCTAGCATTAGAAGTTCGAGTTCCATTCCCAAAATATCCTCATTTTATGCCGACTTTATCTGTGGGGCTGTTGATCCCAGAGCAGAACCTGGAAGATGCAAGGGGCTAAAACTTTGTTTTCCTTCCCCCTGGGCCCAGTCTCCGCAGCCCCATCCCAGATTCTGCAGCCGGGCACTCATTCCTCCCCCAGGCGGACCAGGTCCTCAGACGGCAGAACTGGCAGCAGAGGTGAGGTGAGGTGACAGAATGCCAATGGGAAAAAGGCAGGGCTGGCGTCCGTCCGCGCCCGTTACCGCCTCAGTGTGACTCCAGATGAGCCTTCTCGGCCTGAGTAAGTCCTGCTTTCCTGGAAGAAGGAAACTCCTCGTTGATGAGTTCACATCCAACCAGTCTGTCTGATTTTGTATCTTGGCGTCACCATCGACCTTTGGCAAGGTTCTGTTTCCCCCGGTTTCCTTGTCACATCTAGATGGGGATTCTCAAGCACCAATGCAAGGGGCTGTAGTCTGCAAAAGTCCCAGCCATTGTTTGGGTGTTCAGGGGAAAAGTGAGTGTTTAGAGGGACTCAGGTATTAAAAACACAAGGGAGGACACAGACAGATGTCTGCGGCCACCAAGAACACTGAGCACTATGATGCTCACATCTTATCCCCACACTCTGCAATAGACTCCCCTATAGGCTTGGGTACCAATATAACCAGGATTGCACCCACACGTGCACCCCAAAAGCAGCCTTTGTCCCATTTACCCTTTGGAGAACGGCAGACAGAGGGCTTCTCCTGAGCAAGAACCAATGGCCTGGACCTCTCTACCAGGTGTATGTGGATGGCACGATAGCTCTAGGTACCCATGGCAAACTGAAATTTTCTCCATGTCCTGTGTACCTCTTTGGGCTTGGATTCAGGGGATCCCTCTGAAGCAGGGATTCCAGTTGGCTGGTTTGTTGAGGACCCAGTGAGACCAGAGATTTTGATAAAGCAAGGCTGTAAGCCAGTGGCTGTAGCTGTAGCTTGACGTAGGCTCATTATGTGTGCATAGGAGAAGGAGAGGCAGGGAGAGTAATTTTCAATCTGTCTTGCGTGCCTTGCTCCGAACTTCCCTGAGTTTGTGTCATAAGTTCAACACCTCACAATTCCCTTCCTGCATCCCAGCAGCCCCTGCAAGCTTGCTCCAGGGCCTAGCTAAGATATCAGCTGGAAGCATACCTGTTGTCCCTCCACTCCCGTCGTCATGTCCCTTCCTCCAGGTGTCAAGTGAATCTAGACTATATCCTACTGCCTGCTGTGGGAATATAGACCTCCTGCATAAGGACCCATGAGAAGGTCAGGGGGCAGAACACAGAACAGCAGCCAGCATGTTTGCCTCATGTCCCTGCAAAAATCCCTTGGTAAACCAATGGTCTCTAAAGTGGCCAGCAGCAGCAGCATCCTTTCTCCAGGATACCATCTGTTGGGATGGTTTAGTGATAACTTACTGCTATTGCAAAAGATGAGCAAACCAGCATTTGTGCTCAGTGTGTCAGTTGGCCCTGTTTCCTTACCTGGGTCCACAGGTCAGACAGTAATATGTGGACCTCTGAGGTACCCTGAGGGAAAACGGGGAACAAATGATGGGCAAAGGAAAGGAGTGCTGGATGCTTGCGGCACCCTGTCCCTGTCTTTCACCTTTTGACAGTTTTGCTTCCATCTTTAGGGTTTTATGTGTGTCCGGGTTACAAGGATGTGTTAAGTTAGAACATCTGACCTTTGGGCTGATGAGCTGACTCAGTAGGCAAAGCAGATTTCAATCTGACAACTTGAATTTGGTCTCCAGAACCTCCATGATTGGAAGAATGGAACTGACTCCTGAAAGTTGACCTCTGACCTTCGAACTGTGACATATGAGATACGTGTGCTTGTTGCTTGGACACACACACAGACATAACATGCACAATAAGTAAAGTTTAAAAAAATAAAAAAATAAAAAAACCAAAAGCAGTACAACTTTCTCTGTAACCCTCACAAGACATACCTGTGCCTTCAAAGCATTCTTGTCAGAGACCGGAATTAACAATGGAAAAGACACCCTTGTTTGTGTTCAAACACCAGTGCACAAACCAAAGCAGCCAAATTACCATGTTGACTGGGCCTGGCATGAGCTCCTCTCTGTTGGCTAAACTATGAAGCAAACTCATGCCTGGTACAGAGGTCCAGGCTACTGGTATTTGCACAGAAGGTCAGCAACAGAGCCCTGTGTCTGCCTTTCTCCAAAGGGATTGACAAGACACGGCTAGCCGTGGGAATACATATGCTGGGTGGTTGTGTGGGAGGCCCAGGCCCGTGGATGTCTATCGGGGTGTGCGGGGAGGCTCTGTGCTCTTGGTGGCCCCAGACATTTGTGTTTGGGTCCTCAGTTATGTGTTTAATTCTACAACAGAGCCCCCTCTGGACACTCGTGTCCCTCTTGAACACCTTGACAGTGGCTGAGACTTGCTGAGCGCTCATCGGGCTCCTCCCACAGTCTGACACTGGGCTTCAGTATCCCTGTCTCACATGCATGGAGATAGAATACGAGGTAACACACCCTGAGGGACATTTCCAAATGCCTATTTTGTTTTTACTTCATTGTTTCACACCTTTCCAGTCCATGGTTGGGGATGAAATGCACAGTTGCAGTTCCAGTTAAAACAGCACATGATGTTTTTGTGGTAAAAGCAAGCAGTCAAAGTGGTTTGGTCACTACTTAATCGGAGGTGTGTAGGGATGGACGGGGAACATCCTCCCAGGCCCTTTGTTCTGAGTCTTATGGTGTGACCACTTCCTGACTGTGGGAGAGAAGTCCCCCACCCCACCCTGTGACTGTTCCTAGCCTGGACTGTCCCATCAGAATCTCAGGGGTAAGATGCTTTCAGCCCCAGAGCAGGGGCAGAGAGAGCTGCCGCTGCCTTGGGAGCATTCCCAGGATCACCAGAAGCTAGCGCTGCCTCTCTGACTGGAGCCCAATTTTCCTCTCTGTATGTTCCTTCTCGGGTTCTAGTCCGGGGTCCAGGGCAGTTCCCTTTCCTCTCCAGCCTCAGTCTCCCCTATGTAAGGCTGATAAAGCTGCTGGCAAGCAGACGCTCTGACAGCCGGGCTTCTGGGCTTCTGGAGTAAGCCATTCCCGCCCAACCGGCTCTACCATGCCGTTCCTGACACCGAGAGAGCGGTGATAACAAAGACTGGATTTGGTTTAGCTTCCTTCTAAACAGCCTTTTTTTTTTTTTCTCCTTGTGGTGGATTCCACGCGCAGCTCTGTCCCACAGCTCAGGAAATGAGGTGATCATCAGGGCCAGAAAGGAAGGGGGTGGACGCAGGACGATTGGGCAATTGGGCTGCGCAAACACAGGAGGTCAAAGATTGCACCCGGCCGGCCCCCTCCGGGCATAAAGGGGAGCGGGTCACAGGCAGGCGGTGCAGAAGCGGGTTGGTCTGTGCTCCCCGCTCCTCGCCACACACACACACACCGGGAGGATGAGGTTCGCCGTGGGCGCCCTGCTGGCCTGTGCAGCCCTGGGTGAGTGTGGGCGCAGGAAAGGGCTGCAGAGTACTTGTGGGCTCTTAGGCATCCCTTACAAGCTAAAGGCTGGAAGCCCTAAGAGCCTGCCCTGTGCTTCCTCCCTGTCACGTCTCCATCTTCTTCAATAGCTTAGGAATAACCTCCATCCTCAGGCATCCGGGGCCCTGATTCAGTCTTTACCTTTTATTATGTGCTCCTCATGCTATGGACAGTAATTTGCAGGCGTGTTATAAAATGTCAGAAAACCTTTAAGCAATTTACCCAGGCTCCACACTGAGCCTTTCAGTATAGTTCAAACAGCTTGGTGTGGTAGTTAGAACTTCCTGGGCTCTAACCCTGCTGTCTTTTCATTGTCTGATATCCCTTTGGATGCTTTTGGCGCTGGTGGCTTAGACCAGAGTGTGGGACTTGAAGCCAGAAGTCTTGAATTCAAACTGTGCCTGTAATTCCCCTGTATTACAGCACCTGCCTTGGAGGGTGAGGTGAGGGTGGGGTCAGAGGTGCCAGTCACACATCCTGCTGATTTCTCCCCCAAAGGGGTCTCAAAGACCCAAGCATCTGCCCTAATTAGACTGTCGGTGGCATTTGTCACATCGTTGGGACAATGTTTGAGTTATTTGCTGTCAACTTGAATACACTTTAGATGAACTAGTTTGAACTAGTCTGAAGAGGCTAAAGAGCCTACCATTTGGGTTCCCCATGGTCGGGGTGCTATAAAGGGCAGGAGCTGGAGCCCTCCGCCTCCCTATCATCCTTCTTTATCCATCCTAAAGGACCGTTGGCCTTGCCCTCTCCATGCCATGCTCATTAGTGCTTTTCGGACCTTGCTGAGTCAGTGTGTCGGCCCTGCTGAGTTACCCAAAAGGGAACAGATGTGGTGAAAGCTGGGAGTGCTGGGTCTCATGGATGGCACCTCCCCACCACATGGATTTTAACAGTGACACAGTTGGGGAAGATGTTTTAGCTGGGGAGATTATTGCCTTGTAAGCAGGAGGACCTCAGTTCAGAACCCCAGCACCCAGGTAAACAGCTGGGGACAGCAACGCTCTGGGGAAGCAGATGGGCAGATCCCAGGGACCTACTGGCCAGCCAGTCTAGTGGAACCAGCAAGGCTCAGATTCAGTGAGAGACACCGTCCCAAAAAAAAAAAAAAATCAGGCAGAGTATTAGCAGAAGACACCCCATGTTGCCCTCTGGCCTCCATGCGTACCCAGCTGCACACACACATTCACATGTGTCCATTTATACAAACACATACACACACGGTTGTCTCCAGCTGTTCCTCTAAATGGCGGCCAAAAGGGGGTGAAGCATTGAGGGGAGGGGGGCAGAAACAGAAGCCTGTCGAGTAGAAGGGAGTTTCTAGATAGCTGAAAAGTAACTCAGGTGAATTCGCACGCTAACTGCTACGCACAGAGACACAGAGAACCTGAGAGCCTTGTGTCAAGATGGCTGAGAATGGCACTTGTCCACTGAAGCTCTTGATGCGGACCTTCAGCCATGACAACGAGGCAAAGAGGCAGGAGGAGAGCGGGTTGCCATCATCAGCTATCCCGGCATCCCTCCAAGCAGCCAAACGGGAGGCCACTGGGGTGAACTAATTTCTCTGCTCTCAGTATCAGGGTGCAGCAGCAAACACCCTCTCCTCTGTCATGACGGCCAACGGGAGTGAGAAGAGGCTGGAATGGGGAGGAGGCCAACAGGACCTTTCAGGGAGTGGTGCTTTCTCTCCCCAGGCGCGGGGAGTGGGTCTCTTATGCCTCTGCCTTCTCTCCTACAGGACTATGTCTGGCTGTCCCTGAGAAAACTGTAAAATGGTGCGCAGTGTCAGAGCATGAAAACGCCAAGTGCATCAGCTTCCGTGACCACATGAAAACCGTCCTTCCAGCTGATGGTCCCAGGCTCGCCTGTGTGAAGAAAACCTCCTACCCTGATTGCATCAAGGCCATTTCAGTAAGTCCTGCTGCCCAGCACGGTAGGAGGCTGCCGGGTTTGTTTTCTCGGTGTTTTGGGGGTAACTCTTTACTCACAGGTAGGGGGCTTATGTGCCGGGTGGTCAAACCCTGCTGCTCTTCAAATCTACTTCCAAAATGGAAGCAGAAGAGGGCATGCTTACCGTCCATGAGGCAAGAGAAAGGTGCTCTCTGAAAGGTGGCTGTGCTGAGCCACTTAAGTTCTGCGAACTCAGAGGAAAATCGGGATGTCTGTGACGTCAATAATTATTGTCCAGCTCTGCTGGGACGCTCTCTTTTCTCTCTCATACTATCTTCTTTCCTCACTCCTTCCTTTTCTCCTCCTCCCTCCCTCTTTCTTTCTGTCCCCCCATCTCTGTTCTTCTATGTGTGTATGTATGTATCTCTCTCTCTGTCTCACTTTCTCTCTCTCTCTCTTCTCCTTCCTCCCCTTCTCTGTCTTTTTCTCTCTTCCTTTCTCCCTTTTCCTTCTCTCTCTCCCTCTGACTCTCTGTCTCTCTCTCTGTCTCTCTCTCTCGTGTGTATGTGTGTGTGTTGCTAGGGATTGAACCCAGAGCTTTGGAAATACTAGACACATGCTCCAGTATGTATTACATCCTCCACCATGTAGGTCCTAGACACATATTTGGGAAGATGGGTAAATTTAGGGGGAAAGAATTAAGAGTGGCGACTGCAGATGGCAGTTGATCCCTTTATTTTCCAATCTTTACTCCTTCAGCACTGCTCTTGAACATCTGAGAGTGTCAGTCTCTCTACTAGCTCGCGGAGATGCAGGGGTTAAACACTGACTGTCTTTACCTTCATGGTGTCCACAACCTAGTAAGGAGAGGAGAAATGCTTGCAAGCGAGTAAACTATTCAGCAAAGGGAAAGAACAGTGTTCCAGCAGGGACTCAGAGAAAACGTCTTTGGCCTCCATAGTCACCACCAATCTCTTGGAGAAGGAATCAGTGAAGCTAAAATTGAACAGATGGCCCTGGGGAGGGCTCTCCCCTAAGAGCTGTGGATAACCACAGCAGGGATGAACAGCGCGCGCAAAGGCAGAGGCACACTGGTGTAAGTTGGCAGCAGGAAACCAGAGAAGCGAGAGCTAGCTAGCAGGTAGAGCAGGACGAACAAGATTTGTAGTTGTGATTACTGTCGGTTTGGGGAGAGCTGAGCTCCATTCTAGTGTGTAGAAAAGTAAAGTGGACGTCTTAGAAAAGAGCTTAAGGGAGGGAGAGTGTGGGAACTCAACAGAGTCAGGGAAATGAGTAGCCGGGGATTGCTCAAAATGAACCAGCGCAGCCGTGTAGCTGACTGGTGCTTAGATATTTAGGGTTCCGTCTTCACCGAGGTGAGGACATAGGTCCCTTGTCCTTCCTGATGTATATATTTATATAGAGAGATATTTACGGGCTGGAGAGATGGTTCAGCCGTTAAGAGCACTGGCTGCTCTCTCAAAGGTTCAATTCCCAGCAACCACACGGTCGCTCATAGCCATCTATAACGAGATCTGGTGCCCTCTTCTGGCAGGCAAGTATACATGCAGGCAGAATACTGTAAAAATAATAATAAAAAAATCATTAAAAAAAGATATGTATACACACACTCACTCACTCACATATACGCATCTTCCAGATCCTGGGGAGAAACACTTCTTTTTTTTTTTTTTAAAGATTTTGCTTATTTATTTTGAATGTTCTATCTGTATGTACACCTGCATGCCAGAAGACAGCAGTAGAAGGTATAGATAGATGGTTGTGAACCACCATGTGGTTGCTGGAAATTGAACTCAGGACCTCTAGGAAGAGCAGTCAGAGCTCTTTAACCACTGAGCCATCTCTCCAGCCCCCGAGAGCCACTTCTGAGTTACAAGAAATGCATGTTCACACCTGAGCCTTAATTTTGCTCGTGGAAAGGAAGGCGAAGGCCTGTCTTTGGTTGTGTTGGACCAAAGGAAGCGGATATTTTCCTGAAGGTGGTGTGCTTCCATGGGCAGGCACACGAGACGGCTAGGTTATCCTGGGGGCCCAGCCTCACACTGGAGTAAGGTCAAGTCTCCAGAGGCAGGAGCTGGGATGGACTTGTCCTGTGGGGGCAGTCCACCACAACAGTGAGGAAGTGCACTAAAGGGTTGCAGCATTGGGGACGTTGAGAACCTCTGCTCCACATTAAAGGCAGTGGGTTCATTTTAAGACTTTAATGAAGGGCGACCCATTTGGTGGACTCCTCCCACTGGCGGGGAGTGAGCTACTTTTCAATAAGCCTTACTAGATTTAAAAAAAAAAAAAAAGAAAAAAAGAAAAAGACTTCAAGTAAAGAGAAGATAGGCTGTAGATATAGTTGGAATACTCCAAGGGGCTTATTGATTTAAACACAAGAGTGTGGTGGGGCACGGTGGTGTGTTCTTGTAATTCTGCACTTTGTGGTGAGGCAGGAGGATCATGAGTTTAGAATCAGCATGAATAGATAAACTGCCTCCCCCTACCCCCGCTGATTTTTTTTTTTTTTGAGACAAAGTTTCTCTGTATAGCCTTGGCTGTCCTGGACTTGCTTTGCAGACCAGGCTGGCCTTGAACTCAGAGATCAGCCTACCTCTGTCTCCCCAAGTGCTGGGATTACAGGCATGCGCCACTGCACCCGGCTACAGATGGCCTTAAAACAAACAAAAATACCAAAGAAAAGTTGAACATTCACAAAAGCACGAAGTAAACTAAACAAGCAGTGTCGAAGTAACGATGATAAGCAATAAACCCCACTCTCTGGCCCCAAATCCCGGCTTCATGTCTTAGCAGCTACATGGCATACCAAAGTGGCTTAACCTTTATATGCCTTGGATTTTGCTCATTTGTAAAAACTGAACTTGGGTGGGGGGGGATAGGTGTTTTCAGGTATCCAGGTAGACAATCAAACCAAAAAATGAAAATAAGAGGATGGCCTCAAACCTTGAGTCCTCTTGCCCTGTGTGTACCAAATTCTGGGATAACAGGTGTGTGTGGCCATGGCATGCTGGCTCCTACTGTTTCATGGGCCCAGGACTGTAGGAAAAGTCAATGGAAAGGCGAGTGCCAGCAGAGGAGCTCTCGGGAACTCTCTGAATGAAGGAGCCCTCTGTGTGGCCAAGCATGGAAACAGATGTAAGAGCCATGCCGTCCACAGGCCCCTGTGTTCTCAACTACAACCCCTCAGTGCCTGCAGGACACTGGCTCTGCCCACCTCTGAAGAGGAGTAGGCCGACCCTCTCCCCCACCAAACCTGCCGGACCAAGCCTGTACAGTTGCTGAGGGTAAATCAGGGAAAAGAGAAAAACAAAACAGAAGCAAACAGAAGCAAAACCTCTCCATTCCTTTCTCCACGCAGAACAAATGTGGACAGCGGCCAAGCAGTCTTTTGACAGAAATGGAATCAACCCAAGCCAGCAGGGTTGGGTGTGTTTTAGACAGACTTGTGGTGGTTTTCTGGCCCTAGACCCATGGAGCGTGGCTAGTCCCTTTCTATCTGTTCTGGCTTAGGGAGGCCTTCCTTGGAAGCAAGGACTTCACAGGAGCTTATTCTCTTTTAGGGGGGTGAAGCAGATGCTGTGACCTTGGATGCTGGCTGGGTGTATGATGCAGGCCTGACTCCCAACAACCTGAAGCCGGTAGCAGCCGAGATTTATGGGTCACCTGAGAGTAAGTTCTCCCACAGGACCCAGGAGGGGTGTCGACGATCTGGTGAACTGTCCAAGCTCCCTGCGGCCCCGGGTGCATGTATGAGGGAGAACCCGTCTTCGGGCACACACCGGGGAGCCAAATAGACTAAGAAGTGGTCCGAGATTGCTCTTACCATCCCTATTGCCAATGAGAGCCTCCGTTGCTGTGGTTCCACCTTCCTGGAGGTCTTGGGTTGTTAAGAGTAAGGTCAACAAAGCAACCTTGCCCCACGTGCAGGTGCTCTTTGAGCCTTTGTTTTCCTGGAAAGAGGCCACAAATGGACCATCCGCCTTTAAGCCTACAGAGGTTTCTCTGGCTCCCTACAACCCAACTCCACTTAAGCTACCCCTGGGCCTCTCTTCCCTCACTCAGGGTCAAGCATTGATAAGCAGTGCTGTTCTGTAGTGTGTCAAAGCTCTCCACCCACACTGTCCCGTTTCAGAACCACAAACCTTCTACTGGGCTGTGGCCGTGGTAAAGAAGGGTTCGGGCTTCCTGTTTGAAGAGCTCCAAGGCAAGAAGTCCTGCCACACGGGCCTGGGCAGGTCTGCAGGATGGAACATCCCCATTGGCTTACTTTACTGTAAGCTGCCGGAGCCCCGCAAGCCTCTTGAGAAAGGTAAGCCGTCATCTCTATTCTGGATGTCCTGCTGGGGGGTCACACAGTCATGATTAGTCAGACGGGTGGGCTGAACTCCAAGGTGCTGGAGGGAGAGCGAAGCACCTAGAGAGTGCCAGGTTTGTAGCACCAGCTGCCCATGGGAGGCGGCAGCTGAGGCTTTTTCTTTGTTGTTGTAAGCTCTCAACAAGCCAAGAGAGGCTGTCTTGAGGAGGGAACGAAAGGGCAGGTGTGGATTTCCAGATTCACTGTAGTGGCTGGACCTGCCTACTCCCCGCCCCGCCCCGCCCCGCCCCGCCCACCGCCAAAGGATGGTTTGGTGCCACCTGCTGGTCATAAGTTGTCTTGCACGTCTCTAAGTTGTTTTACGGCGCCCAGAGGAACTTTTTTTTCCCCCTGAAAGCTAGGGAACAGAGTGAGCTGACAATGGTCTAGGGCAAGCCTTAGCTGGAAGGAAGTATAGCTGGTGTCCCCGGGTGGGTAACAGCAGGGTAGGGGTTAACCTATTCCTGTTTAGCTTAGCACATGTAAGCGTGAGCCAGGACTGTTTGCTTGCTTCATTGCTTCATGCATTGTGCTTATGTCTTGTTGCCCAATTCTTTGTATTGAACAGGTGTGGCCAGTTTCTTCTCGGGTAGTTGTGTCCCCTGTGCAGATCCTGTGGCCTTCCCCCAACTGTGTCAACTGTGTCCAGGCTGTGGCTGCTCCTCTCTTCAACCATACTTTGGCTATACAGGAGCCCTCAAGTGAGTAAGATTGCTGTTCTGTGTTGGCCAGTGCTGAAAGTCCTCAAATGGCGGTTCTTTGCTGACCCAAAGCTGATACCCACCTGCCTAGAGGCATCCGGGTGGCTTAAACTCCTCCTAGGGAGGCAGGGGTACCAGGACAAACTAGCCCATATTCCCTTTCATCTGATGTCAAAGATCATGCCCTTTTCTGGGAGTCCTCTCCTATCATCTGGCTGGTGTCTCCTCTAATTGAACTGGACAGCATCTGAAGGGACCGACACATTCCCAGTGCCCGGGGGTGTGTGACAGAGCCCCTGCTCTCCATAACAGCAGCGGGCTATGCTCAATGGACGGGACCCGGCCCTGCCCCCACCTCAACAATACATGTGGTGTTTTTATTTTATTTTATTTTATTTTATTTTATTTTATTTTATTTTATTTTATTTTATGTTTTTATTTTATTTTATTTTTTACATCTAATACATTTTGACCATATTCTTTCCTTTTCCCCAACTCTTCCTTGAGCCTACACACACACACACCAACACCAAAGGTAAAAACAAACAAAAACAAACCAACAAAAAGTACATAGGGGAAAAACAAAACATGAAGTTTGTTTTGCGTTGGCCAGCTACTCCAGGCATGGGACCTGCCATGAAACATGGTTGAAGAAAACTGATTTTCCAGGCAGGCAGCAACTGCAAGTAGCTTCTTGGTTAGGAGGGACTTTGTGTCATGTGTCTTGTTCTCCCACTTTTTTGTTGTTGTTGTTGTTTTGTTTTACTTGGCTTTGTTTGTTTGGCTTTTTGAGACAGTGTTTCTCCATGTAGCCTTGGCTGTCCTGGAACTCTTTGTAGTCCATACTAGCCTTGAACTTGAAGAGATCTGCCTGCCTCTGCCTCCCAAGTGCTGGGACTAAAGGCATGTGCTACCACTGCCTGGCATCTTGTTCTCTCTTTTTACCTTGCTTAGACCCTGAAGTCCACATAGCCAGGGTAGAAATATCATCCTCTTCTGTACTAGGGACTTGAAGCTTTTTCACATTAACATGTTTTCACCTTCTTTTTGCCATGTTGGGGTACAAAGTGAGGGACATTCATCTTGTGTGAGCTCACCCCCATCTCAGAAGTACTCTGGATGTCAGCACCTCACCCTAGTGCTGCCTCTGCCATGGGGACTGCTCAGACACAGTCCTTGTCTGCAAGCTGACAGAGTGATCAGGACCAGGGGCAGGGCCTGCCTTGTAGGCATCTTGTTCATGTGCTTCTTTCCTACAGGTGTCTGAGAGATGGAGGTGGGGATGTGGCCTTTGTCAAGCATACAACCCCATTTGGTAAGTGACTGGGAAAGACTCTAGCAGGTTCCCTGTCCCCTTTTTCATAGTCAGTAGTCACAGATGGGCATGCAAGGCATCTCTACCATTGCTTGAGTTTCTATGTGTGCAGAGGCAGGTACTCTTGGGATCTCTACCTGGACTCACGGGCCTCTTTCTATCACTCAGAACCCACAATGTTCCTACCTGTAGGGCAGAATTGTCAGAGCCAGGGTTTGGAGGTTGGCCTGGCTGATCTTGGCCTGTCAGCAGTCTTGCTGAGCTCAGGCACGTGGGATGGAGGCAGTCCTTGCTTCAGACTGGCCCATAGAAGCCTCCATGCCTGTCTGGACCCAGGTGCATCTTACTTCATCTTCCTCAGCCCTCAGAGATCCTTCCAGGCCTTTCAGCTCATGCTCTCTATGATAACAGGAGTGGAAAGGTGGGGAGGACCTCAGCCTGCCATAGGCTCACCCGAACTTTCCCTCCTCAGAGCTCTTTCCCAACAAGGCTGACAGGGACCAATATGAGCTGCTCTGCCTTGACAATAGCCGAAAGCCAGTGGATCAGTATGAGAATTGCTACCTAGCCCGGATCCCTTCTCACGCTGTTGTGGCTCGAAAAGTGGACGGCAAGGAGGATTTGATCTGGGAGATTCTCAAAGTGGCCCAGGTATTTTACCCACCATTTTATCTCCTGCTCACAACCCTGTGCTGAGATTTTCCTGACTACTGGACAGGCTAAGACAGTCCTGTATGTTTAGGATACAGTGTGCGGGGGGGGGGGGAGGGAGTCATGTGTCACCAACCTCTCCAGCATCCCTAGCTAGAACTCCTCATAGAGCAGGAGGTGTCTCCTCTGATATCAACAGCCAGCACATTTTGGACCAATGAGACCCTTTTCATCTAAGGTTGTCCCTCAAGGCCCAGAGAAAATCCCAGAAGGCTCTCCTGACCCCCAAAAGGAGAAAGAAGCTCTATCTCCCCCCCCCACACACACATGAACCCTGACTGCAGAGGGACTGACTTCGCCTGCCAGTTCTATGCTCGTTGGCTGGGGTTAGCTAAGACAGCTTCCTCAGGTCCAACCCACTCATCTATTCATCAAGAGTTTAAGCGGCAACTGTCCAGTGCCAGCCTCTGCACCAGACTCTCTTCGGCTAGTTCTCAGCCCCTCAGGGAGACCAGCTGGAAGCACAGGGAGGGAGACTATAGGGTGGTCCTCACAGGGTACTAGACAAAGAAGGGACTAGGTGATGCCTGAATGCCTTTTCTCCTGGCACCTCCAAGCTTCTCATGTTTTTAAAATCAGTTTCCTTGTTCTCTTCAGTCCTGCTTTTTAGCCTCCCTAATTCCTGTTGCTGCTCATTGCTCTTTCCCCCCCCCCCCTGGAAACAGGAACATTTTGGCAAAGGCACAACAAAAGACTTCCAACTGTTCAGCTCTCCTCATGGGGCAAACCTGATGTTTAAAGATTCTGCTATTGGGCTGTTAAGAGTTCCCCCAAGGATGGACTACAAGCTATACCTGGGCCATAAATATGTCACTGCCATTCGGAATCAACGCGAAGGCGTGTGTAAGTACTCAGGAAAACCAGGTGACCTCAGGGATGTGTGGAACCCAGCAAGGTCAAGAAGCAGCCATAGTCTTTCTGGGGACTGACAACCGCTCCTGATGTCCCTATTTCTGTCCTGCTTGTGAGCCCAGGGCTAGACTGAGGCTGGCTGGCACCAGTCAGGAGAGGGCCTGGAGGTCACCAATGGCCTTAAAGGGCTGTCACATTTTAAATGACCTGGGTTGGTACTAGTATCCTTTCCTATGCATAAATCAGGATAGCCCCATGCCCTCTGTGGAGCTGATTAGACTATTACAAAGTCAATAGCTTGAAGTTTCTGCAGACTGCACACCTCTTGCCAATACTGTGGTCAACATGGGCACAATGAAGCCGGAGTTGGAGGGAGGCTGATCTTGCCCTGGCTTTCACTGGGGCATTGGAGGTGTGCCTAATAATTTATTCATTTGGTGGATATATATTGAACATCTAGCCACAGGCTCTGCTAGGTGCTAGAATTACAAACACATATTAGAGTCTGTTGTCCTGGGACTTTCAGGCCAAGGGGAGGACAAATGTTTGAGAGATGGTCACACTGCTGAGCAGCGAATTACAAAGGGAGATAATGAAAAACAATAAAAATAGCAAGGTCCTATAAGAGTGAAAAGCAAAGTCAAGCAGATCCTGGCCAGAGGTTGAGCTAAGGCCCCCCTCAAGGAGTGATCTGGGGACTGCGCCTGAAAGATAGGCATGTGAATGTATATTTACTCTATCTATCTATCTATCTATCTATCTATCTATCTATCTATCTATCTATCTATCATCTATCGTCTTTGCTAGACATGTATTATACTGACCCCATGATTATTACACTGTTTAAATGGGAGGGTGCTCTGGTGAATGATGTGGGCATGTTCCCATCTTCTTAGAGCTTACATTCTCCCACATGGAAACCTATGATAAACAATGAACATAGTTAAAATGGTTATTTGAAGAAGGAAGGAAGGAAGGAAGGAAGGAAGGAAGGAAGGAAGGAAGGAAGGAAGGAAGGAAGGAAGGAAGGAAATTCAGATGTTAGCATGTCTTGGGGTTAGAGAGTTGGCTTCTCAAAAGAAAAAGCTGGGATCTGGAGAGATGGACTCAGTGGTTAAGAACAAGTATGGCTTTTGAGAAGACTCTAATTTGCTTCCCACACCCATATTAGATAGCTCAAGACTTCCTGTAACTACAGCCCCAGAGGATCTGATGCTCTCTCCTGGCCTCTGTGGGTACTGCACTCACATGCACACACACACACACACACACACACACACACACACACACAATTAAAATGAAAGAAAAAAGTCTTACAAAAGAGGAAGGGCTGAATTTTAAGTGAAATAAACTAAAGTTAGACTGTATACTATCTGCTTTCTTAGACAGTTATGAATTCCTTGAATGGGAGCTGTTTGTTATTCTCATCATTTGCATGAAACAGTTAGAAGCACTGACAGATACCAGAAAGTATCTGGGGCCTCTCCTTCCTGAACACTGGTTCTTCTTGTTGTACTATAGGCCCAGAAAGCTCCAGTCAAAGCCAGTCAGTGAAGTGGTGTGCACTGAGTCACTATGAGAAACTCAAGTGTGACGAATGGAGCGTTAACAGCGGAGGAAAAATTGAGTGTGAATCAGCAGAGACCACAGAAGACTGCATTTACAAGATCATGGTATGTCTCTCCTGCCTCTCCAGGGTGTGTCCCTAACACTGTGGCCTCATGGCCCACTGTAAGGCAGAGTTGTCAAGTGTAGCTAGAATAGTGTGGAAAGAAACTTTGTTTTTCTCGTTTGAATTTAGCCTCCCAGAAGGCCTAAATTTGTGGTTCTGAAGGATGCCTCCAGGGCTCAGTTTGCTCTTTACATTAGCACGGTGGGAGGGTAATCTGAGCCATGTCCTGCTGAGGGAAACTGGACCATAGCGAGAGTGCCATTGGGCTCACGATATGCCCTGGTGAGTGTGAAAGGGCTCGGCTTTGATTTTGCAGGCAAGTACATGTCCACTTAATTAATCAAGATAGCATTCTTTATTTGCCTGTAGACATTTTTCAAAGTCCTGAGCTTGAGAAAGGAGAAATTAAATGCCCCTGGTCATCACTATAACTCAGAGCAAACGTTCTTACTGGGATTGTGTCATATAGGTTGGTTGCATCTCCCACCTCATACCTGTTTTGCGAGCCTTTCATATGTCTTTCAAACCCTGGCATTTCTGTCTTAGAGAGCAAACTGAGGTTCTGCAGGGGTGGCAATGCCTGGAAAGGGGAAGGAAGCTCTAAGCTCTCAAGCCCCTACCTCCTTTTCTTGCTCCACGGAGCCCCTCCATGTGTCTATTCTGTGCGGTGACTCTTTGGTTGTTGCTGAAAGTTACTGCTGTGGTTGCTGTTGGTGGTGGCAGGGGCACTATTTTGAGGTAGGGTCTCGTAGCGGATGTTGGTCAGTTACTGTCAGAGGCTGAGGCTGAGCTGATATACCTGGTCATTCCGCTTCTGCCTCTGGAGGGTTGGGATTATGTGCCTCTCTGCCACCACCAAGGCTAAGGGGATGCTCAGGACAGAACCCTGGGCCTCTGGCATGCTAGGCTGGCACTGTATCAGCTGAGCTGTAGCTGCAGTTGGATCTTTGAAAACAAACCCACAAATTTAACACCTATTGACAACACTAGGGTTCCTTGCCACTGTCAACTGATCTTTCTGGAGTTTCTCAGCTCTGCTAAGAGCACTTAAAAATAACCATGTGCTTTCTAAGCTAGCTATCACAAAGCAAGAAGGCCTCCAGTACCATTTTTTCTATCCACATTTTAAAATACATTGTTTTAGCTACGTTCCATTTTATTGTTTCGTCTGAGTCAAGGCAAGGACAATCAAACCGAATTAATACAAAGCCAGCTAACAAAGCCTGAGTCTATGTAAAGGTGTGCCGGCATCTGGGTTGCCTGACTGGCCATCGGGAGCCAGAACCGACATTACTGTTGCCCTGGATTTATAACTTACGCTGGAAAAAGCCTTTAAGGAGACAGCCTAATGGGGCAAGTGGCACAGGAAATAGCAACCATTCGTCCGCTGTGACTCGCTATGTCTTTGCAGAATGGAGAAGCTGACGCAATGAGCTTGGATGGAGGATATGCCTACATAGCAGGCCATTGTGGTCTAGTGCCCGTCCTGGCAGAGAGTTATGGTAAGGGCAGGGGCACAGTGCCTTTGTGCTTTCTTTCTGGACCATGGGGAGAGGAGGACCACAGCCCAGTTTATCTCACAGCCACCATGAAGTGCTCCCTGCTTGAGCTTCTTCTCAGTCCCTGAGACCCCCTTCACCTGGAATCCACAGTCATCCTAGAGGATGAGAGGGGTGGTATTGTCAGTCCCTGCCGGGAGATAGAAAAGGGACCCTGCTGCAGAGCACATGTGGGATGTCTGGAAAGCCTGGCCATATCGAGAACTCGTGCCGTTCCTGCTGCCTTGTTGCAGGACAGATACATCCCCCTGTGAGCTTGGTGCACAGCAAGCAAGACACTTGACACGTTGTGAATGAATCCTAGAGGCCAGCAGCCAGGTGAACTCTGGAAATCTGGAGAGAGTCTAGCCTTATTGTAAATCAGTGTTGTGTGCAGTCAAACCCACTCTTCTTATTGGCCTCATGCGAAAGGCATGATTTTCCAACCTGTACGGGAATGTTTAATGGTTTCTCTGTTTTCTTTTCAGAGAGCTGTAAAAATGAGTCAGAAAGCTTACCACAGAAAGGTGAGTTGAAACTGGTAGTCCTGGGCACTGGAAGGTAAACTCTCATTGTTGGAAGAAGTGGTTAGGCAAGTTTCTAAGTCAGTGGAGAGATCCAAATTTTAGAATGCAAAGTGTGAAGAGAGGGTAGTAATTGAGACACAGGGTTTCTCATTTCATGTTATAACGTAGGCCTTGTCCTCTGTAAGGACTCGTGAAAGGATCCAAGGATTCAGAATTTATGAATGGTCTAGGGTCCCAGAAACAAACCTAGGGTCTTCCCATCACTTCTTACCATTGTGAGTCACATCCAGATTTTCAGAGCTTTAGATGACAGTTAGCACGGGGCCTTGCTTCTGTGGTCCTTGCAGGATTGCGTAGAGAGCTCAAAATGTTGATGTCGAGGAGAATGGAATTATCTGACCATCTAGCCAGGCTGGACCCAGGAAGCCCAACTAACCTGTCTCTTACAAGGGCTTTGATTAGGGGTGGATCTGACAAGAGGGCACAAGAGCAAGTGGGTGGGAAGTCTGACACAAAAGTGACAGTGTGCCCGCTGCTCAGTCTCCTTAGGTTGTTTTCCATGGAACCTTGAGCGTACAAATCCGGCCCTGTCCCTGCAGCTGAACACAACCTCCCAATTCTTAGCATACCTAGAAGGAGCCATTATTAGTCTATGGATGATAAGGATTACTTTCTGTTGGAGAGTGTATTCTAAATTAATTAAAATAGGAAACAGAATCACAGGTTGGTTCGAGCCCCTATGGCGGGCACATTTGTGCTGCTGAAGATGACAACCAGCTTGTTCTTGGCGTTTTCATTTTTCATGTTTACCCTTGTATAAGACCACATTCTTATCAGAATGTCTGGCCTGATTAACCCCAGTACTTGTTCATATGCAAAATGTGAGAGTGACATTAGCTTTTCTGTATCCATTTCCATGATTTAATAATTTGGAAAGTGAGTTACTGGTTTTTAACTTCAATAACCTTATGCATTCAGGTAAGGTCTATGTGTCAGCCATTTCTCTGGTGATCACGTGTTAATATTTTTGCCGCTTATTTTCACATTTTATGGGTATACATGTGTATGTGAGCACATGTGCGTGTTTGTGATGGGACATATGGAGGTCAGAAGTCAACCTCACATGCCATTTCTCTGAAGTCATCCACTTTTTTTGTTTTATGATCCAGGGTCTTTTGTTGGCATGGAGCCCCTTTAGTAAGTTAAGCTGGCTTATTAGTGAGCCCCAGAAATCTGTCTGTACCCATCTTCCTAGTAATGAGATTATACACACATGCCGCCACGCCTGGCTTTTTTATATGGGTTCTGGGGACTGAACAGCTTACATGGCAAGTACTTCACCAACAAAGCCATCTCCCTAGTCCATTATTTTATTTTCAAATAGATACATAAAAACATGAAAATATATGTCCATAAACACAGGGTACCGTGTGAGCTCAGCACTTTGCTTTTCAACTTCTTCCTGCTGGACCATCCTGTTTTTCACTGGAGTCAGCTGTTGGGTCCCTTTTGTGACGCAACATGTTCTTTAGGACATCCCTGCTGTCCTGAGGTGACAGCAGCTTCTGTTGGAAGCAGCTACTCAGGGAGGTCATGTGGATGTTACTATTCCCTCACTGGCATCTTTCCTGTAGGGTATTACGCTGTGGCAGTGGTGAAGGCCTCGGACGAGGACATCACCTGGAACAACCTGAAAGGCAAGAAGTCCTGCCATACTGCGGTGGACAGAACTGCCGGCTGGAACATCCCCATGGGCCTACTGTACAGCAGGATCAACCACTGCAAGTTCGGTGAGCAGAGCTGGGAGAAGAGCTTGGCAAGGGCCATGTGGGGAAAAGTAGTCCTGAAGAAGGCTGTGGGCTTAGGGTCCATAGAAGTGAAGTTTCGTAGAAACGAACCTCAAGGAAATAGCGAAAAGGACTAGGAGTCAGGTTGACCATCTCAGTTACACATAACGGCTTCAGTGAACGTAAATTACTTTTTTCTCCCGTGAAGAAGACCAAAAGTGAGCATTCCATGTCTATGAGACCTGGAGGGCCTTACAGCTTCTTTCTGTTCCACACTCGCCGTCATGGTACTTCCATGTTGAAAGCAACAGTTGCCCAGGCA